GAGTCGTCAATCAACTTTGAGCAGTCCCAACGATCCTCCTGGAGTCAAGTTCCCAGACTCCCCAAAACCCGTTTCCCCCATTTCGGAAGGCGTTGTGATGGATTATGAGGCAGCCACCTCATCCTTCCCGTCTCCAAGCTTCCCTTCCGGCCTGACCCTCCATATTCCTCGAAGCCCAAGAAGACGAACAAAGAGGAGCAGAAGAAGCAGAAAAAGACGAACAAAGAGGAGCAGAAGAAGCAGAAACAGCGAGGAGGAGGAGGAGGAGGAGGTAGAGCGAGGAGGTAGAGCGAGGAGGAGGAGGAGTAGGAGGAGGAGGTAGAGCGAGAAGAAGGAGGTAGAGCGAGGAGAAGGAGGTAGAGCGAGGAGAAGGAGGTAGGGCGAGGAGGAGGAGGTCGAGCGAGGATGAGGAGGAAGAAGAATCAGGGCAAGGAGGAGAAATAGGAGGGAAACGTCGGAATGTGTGCATGGCAGGAAGAAAGCAAAAGATGTAGAAAGGAGGAAGGAGATGATGAAGGAGGAGAAGCAGCAGGAGGGGATGCAGAAGGTCACCGAGACAGTGTCCAATCATGCTCTTGGTGGAAGAGATGCGAGTCTTGTATGCATGCTCGCCCAGCGCCTTCTTGATCGCCACTGAGAGCCCGTCACTTGAGAAGGAAGGAGAGAGGAGGAGAAAGAGGAGATGGAGGAGGAGGAGATGAAGGAAAAGTAGTTGAGGAGGAGAAGATGGAACAGATAGAGTAGGAGGACATGGAGGACATGGAGGACATGGAGGAGAAGAGGGAGGAGGAGGATAGTGGCATACTTGTCTCAAACTTGTCGTTGTAAGGCGTTGAGGTACCGTGAGCGTTGATGTAGTCAACCTCCTCCGGCTTTACTTCTCCTGCTCCCGTTCAATCGTGATCTTCCCTCTCCCCTCCTCCTCCCTCCTGTCCCCTACCGCAACTCCTTACCCCTTTTCCCTCTTTTTCCTCTCCCCATGAAAACCCCTCTCGTCCTCCTCCCAATCGCCATCTCTTTCTCTCTTCCCGTCTCTCCTCTTTGCAACTCACCCGATCGCAGCGCCATCGAGATGGCGGCGGCGAGTCCTCGACCCTCGGGATGAGGAGCAGTGATGTGATAGGCGTCGCAAGAGGCTCCGTAGCTGAGGATGAGTATAAGGTCCCAGCGAGAGAGGAGGAGAGAAGAGGAGAAGACGGAGTGAGAGAACAAGGCGAGAGGAGGAGGAAGAGGAGGAGAAAGAGGTTGAGGAGGAGGTTGGGGTGGTTGAGGAGCTTCAGGACTCACCCGGCAAATTCGCAGTAGATCTCAGCTCCTCGAGCAAGAGCATGCTGCATAGGATGTCACTCGTAGAGACATGGAGAGGACAAAGAGAGGAGAGGGAGGGATGGGATGGAAGAGAAGAGTTCAGGGTTGCTGCTGCTGCTGCTGATGATGGTGGTGGTGGTGGTGGTGGTGGTGGTGGTGGCAATGCCGATGACGATGTAGAGGAGGAGGAAGGAAGAAAGAGAAGGAGCAAACCTCTTCAGTCTCAAGGAGCAGGACACCAGCCCCCTCTCCCATGACGAACCCATCCCTCCTGCACCTCCCGCTTAGCCCACAAGCTCGTTCAGCTTCACCTACTTCTTGTCGAAGGGACGAGACGCTGCCAGCGGGTCCTCGTTGAAGCTGCCTCCTCCGTCAGACTTTTCTCTTCTTCTTCCTCTTCCTCTTCCTCTTCCTCTTCCTCTTCCTCCTCCTCTTTCGTTGTGCGCTCCTCCTTCCCTATCCTCCTCTACCTTGTAGTCATGGCACGGAGAGCAGCAAAGCCCGCAAAGGCTGAGGGTTCAACGTCAAGGCCACGAGCAAAGGTGGGCAACGAGAGGGAAAGGAGGACAGAAGAGAGGAGAACGAGAGTCTGAATGCCAACGGGTGGGACAGGAAGAAAACGAAAGAAGCGCGGAGGAGCAGGTAGAGGAAAGGAACAGCAGTTAGGTACCGAGGGGAGTAAGTGAGCATTCCGATCCGCCGGCAAGCATTACATCTGCCTGCTCTCGCGATTATCACCAGTCATCCCCCTCCTTCTTCTCCCTCCCCACCTTCCCGCTCTGCAAGAAGTGCAGGGCGTCTCCGAGAGCATGAGTCCCTGTCGTAAAGATCATCATTTCCATCCTCCTCTCTTTCACAAGCAACAACACAATCTCCTCCTCCCATCCCCTTCCTCTCCTCCTTTGTCTTGCTGGTAACCTGTTGCACATGCTGACACGACGCTATAGCTTGGCCCCTGAAGCAAATGCAGTGAGACGACCTCCTCTACACTACCCACTCTGACCAATACTCCTCCTCCTCCTCCTCCTCCTCCTCCTGCCGCCCCCCTGCCCCTGCCCTATTTTTTCCTTTACCTTGGCGCCAACTTCCCATGCCACAGCATTGGAGGCGGTGTTGGAGACGAGAGCAGGAATGAGGGAGGAGGAGACCTGTATAGGTTGTGACGGACAAGGAGGAGGGAGAGATCAGCAGCAGAACCTCCTGCATGCCCTTCGCTCCTCCCTTGAGCCGAGAAATACTGCAAATA